ATGGAGAAACTGGAGGGCAGGGTCATTTCTGTGCAGACCATTCCACCCCATGCCCCTGAGTGCTACCTGCTCTGAGCACCATGGGCACAATCGCAGCTCTCCAGTAAATGCCGAGTTTCCTTAGTTATTACTCAGACAGATTTTCCAACTGAATTAAACAGATCAACCAATTTCTGCCTTTGTAGATTTGAAGACCCTCAACTTCAGTGAAGTTGGGTCCTACTGAATTAAACACGAAGAAGGCTCTAGAGTCACCACTAGATAAAGACTTGGAAAGAGAAGCAACATCCCACGAGTATCTTTGAATAGGCATTATGGCGATATTTTATGTGTGCTTTCACAAACAAAGCTTGCCTGAAGACTAGAGTGTGGAGCCAGCTACACTAATCGGTCATAGAGGCCAGGCAGTGATGGCACACACCTTTAATCTCAGCACTCAGGAGACAGAGGCAGATGGATTTTGTTGTGGGAATTCATTCTGCCAATAGATTTTGGGGTGCCAGCCCTAGTGTGTGGCTTCTTGTCTACAGACATGAGCTCATACAAGGGAAGAGGAGGCGGTCACTTGCTCTTTTGCTCTCCCGCTGGCTTGGATGGCAGGAGCAGAGCAGGCGGCTTGCTGTTGGTGCTCTTTCCCAGAACAACTGCGGCAGCATGGAACCTGTCCCACGTCAGTGCTCACCCCTGTTAGACATCTAAATAAACTCTTTTGAACCTCTCCAGACTCTCGTGGGTTCTCACACAAGATCCCTGTGAGTTCAAGACCACCCTGGGTGACGCGAGACTGAACCAGTCTAAAAGAGAAACAGACAAGTGGTGGTGGCTCACACCTTTAATCCCAGCACTCGGGAGGTGGAGACAGGAAGTGATATGACTGGGCGGAGAGAGGAGAATAAGGTGGGAAGAGACAGCAGCTCAGGATTCAGTCTGAGGTTTCCTATGGCATTCAATCTGAGGACTTGTAGAGACAGGAGACCCCATTTGGTCTGAAGATTTTGTAGAGGTAAGAACTCATGGCTGGCTGCTCTGCTTCTCGGATCTTTCGGCTTTCACCCCTAATATCCGACTCTAGGTTTTTATTATTAAGATCAATTGGAACTTATGCTACAGTCCTGTTAGAAACGGAACACTTCTGCAAAGATCTAACTCTGAATAAATTGTGACCCCCCCCCAAAGTAGGGCTGAAAACCCCAGGAAAAGAGTGTACACAGGAGGCACTTATTTACTGTGTGTACACGGGAGGCACTTACTGTGTGTACACAGGAGCCTCTTACTGACAGCCTGACCAAAGAGCCCTGAAGACTGGACTCTACAGTGAAGCGGTGCTCACTAATGCAGTGGCTCGTCCCCTTCAAGGCTGTCACTTCCTCAGCAGATAGTTTGCCTTGGGGCTGATGTTCATACATGTGTGTGGGCACATGTGTGGATGTCACGGGTCAACCTCAGCCATCATCCCTCATGAGCTGTCCACCCTGTGGGTTGGTTGGTTGATTTGAAATGGAGCTCACTATGCAACTCAGGCTGGCCACAAACTGATAGAGATCCACCCACTTCTGCCTCGTAAATTCTGGAATTAAGGACACGTGCTACCATGCCTGCATGTATCCACCTTTTCTTTTAGGACCTGCTGCTTGCCATTGATGCTTAGCTGGCCAACCACTGAACCATAGGCCTCTTTCTACCCCCAACTTCTCAGAACTGGGGTTAGAGCTACACTCCATCACACTGGCATCTCTTCCTAAGTCCTGGGTATCGAACTCAGGTCTTTGGGTTTGTACAGCAAGCTCTTGACTAAACCAGTTCTCACCCACTTCCCATATTTAAATGCTCACAAGAAAGGAGCAGGAGTCCCTGGGAACTAAGTGGTCTGGCTTCATAGGGATATCCTTAAGGAATTTACCCATCTGCTACTGTCACACAAGACTCTGCTTTATTCCTTCAACAGGAGATGGAAGAAAGGGAGAGAAAGAACACAAGCAGAAAGAGAGGGAGTGACAGGAGGAGTGAGGGAGACGGAGAAAAACTGGTAACTCATACATATTCAGGGCCGTCCGTTCTTTTTTCTGGTTTCAAAGACAGCCCCTCCAATCACCTTGCTTTCCGCTATGCTGAGCTGAATGCCATTTGAAGAGAAGCAGAAGGAGGACACTGGCCTTGCTGACAAGACACAATGTAGCATCTGGGGTGCTCCTGGGAGACCTGCGGGCAGGCTAACCTGGCCTCACTATGCTGAGCTTGCAAAGCCTAGAGGATGAGGTCACATTTGGCCATGACTATAAATAGACACCGGGTGGCAACGAGAACCAAGAGGGAGCTCTGCCTGCGATGCACAGAATGACATCTGTGTACAAAGCCGGCGTGTGCAGCATCACCCAGTGTCAAGGAAAATGCAGCGAAGTGGGAAGCAATGTTGGTGTCCTTCTCCTTTCTCTTGAACACATTTGATCTTAGGAAGACTTCCCTTGGATCCTAGTCTCAGGATGAGAAAAGTCACCGCAGAATCCCCCTGGCCTGGGAGTCTCCAAGAAAAATTGCCCACTACCTGTTACAGAGAAAGGATCCAACCCACACAATGACTTTTATAAGGGGGGGGGCAACTTTATATCAAACATAGTTAGGCACAGAGATTCAATGTGGCGATTGACACCTGCCCTCCTCAGAGTTGCTGATACAATCCTGTACAAAAGTCAGAGGGCCTGCTTTTAGTTAACAACTTAGCAGGAATGCGTAGCAATGGAGTTGTCCCCCTACTCCCAGCATAGCCTGTAAAAACCAAGGTCCGACCATCAGTAGCCAGCCCCTGCTGTCACTGAGTCTTCAAGAAAGTCCACATAAGGGGTGGGGGAGTCGGGTTCTTCCGACGCACAGCACGGAGACGCCACCAGAAGCCCAGCCTATGTATCCGTGAGTCTCTGAACTTGCCCCAACCTAAACTGCGGAGTTAGCCCACACTGGCGTGGAAACAGGAGCCCAAGGCCCGAGTGTTAACATTAATATCAGGCTCTGAACTAATCCCGTCCAATCAGAAAATTCCAGAACAACTCTCAAAAGCTGCCATCTGGACCTGCGAGGGGTGTCACCCTCAGATTCTGCACAGTAGCCATGTTTGTCTTTGTACAGATTTCACACTCTGCCCCCTCCCCCTGCCACTTCGCCCCTTCCCTCCGTCTGCCTTCTCTTCCTCCTCCCCACAGCTCTGTCATCTGAGAAGCCCCATCTTTCCTCCTCTTCGTGTTTAATTTTTCATAGCACTTGGGGACAGATCACATATTTGTTGTGACTTAACCTCCTCTGACTTGGAAGGAGCTGCCACCTTCCCTCCTGCTCTGGCAGAATCTGCCAAGCCCGGAGTGTGCGGGGAGGGGCGGGGGTGTTTTGTCATAATTCCTGAGCTCAGGCAGAAGACACTGCCTCAGGATGCTCCAGGTCCTCCAGCGGCCTTGCACCCATCCCACACCCACTGGGACTAGCCCTTGGGAGGAGTCAGGGCGAGTTGGACCGCATGGCTGGCCTCATACACAATAGGAACTCCTCCGCTTCTCGCCTACTCCCTAGGAGTTAGAATGTTTGGATTTGGCAAAATATGTAGGCCCGTGTTTGAGTCTCCCCAACATGCTAGGGGTGTGCAGGTGCTAGAACAGGGACCCCTCTGCTGCCACCCGAGCACGGTAGGAACTCCCACCTGCAACAGTGCTTGACATGGCCCGTGTGGCTCATTTAAGGTAAGGAATAGGCTTCATCTCCAAAACAGCGGAGAAGAGAAAGAGTCCAAATTATTAATGAAGGTCAATTCTCTGCTGAGATCTGTTTCAGCCAGAGGTATCAAGGTAGGCAAAGGGAGAACTGAAACCATCCCTTGCCTGTCAGTGGGTATTTATGAACACAGCCATGGGCAGAGATTTGCTGGGAAACCCAAAAGTTTAAGCCGCACTCTACCTGATCCTTAGAAAGACTTGTATGGCACCTTGAGCAAGTCAGCCCCACAACCAAGGGGCCAGGACAAGCCATGTCATAGGTGTGACTGTGCTCCTGAAGCACTCAAAGGAAAACCTCTCTCTCTCTCTCTCTCTCTCTCTCTCTCTCTCTCTCTCTCTCTGAAGGTGAGGCCATAGGGACAGCAATCAGGAATGCTCTACACCATTGCTCCTTCAGGATACCCTCAACTCTGGTTGGTAAATGGTGGGCACATGTGTTACCATAGTCCCCTTGCAGTGGCCATGTACACAGAATACTGTCTTTGGGTCATGGTTGCTCCATTGTATGGAAACACCAGGCAGCTGGGTACACCTCAACATTTTCACTTTCCATTTGCTTACACCCATCCCTCTTGATACCATGCTCCAGTTGGGTGTGGTTGGCATGGCTCAGCCATGTTCCTTTTTGACTCATTCAAGGCAGAAGTCCATTATTTTGAGGTTTCTTCCTATCCTCGCTGATTAGAGTTTTCCCACTTCCTTTATCCTTGAATACCATTAATAAGAGTCAACCTTACTGCTGACTGTACAGATCTGAGCAAGCGGCTCTTCACTCAGGGCTCCACTCTTCCTTTCTCTAAAATGGGAGAACTATTAGCCACTTTTCTACTTATACCCTATGGTTTTGTAAAAGCCAAGAATATTGGTTAATTTTTCTCATTTCTGTGATCAATTCTTGAGAAGAAGCAACTTAACTTCAAGAATATACATAGTCCACTATGCAGGGGAAGGCATGATCATGGAAGGAGGAGATGGTGGTCACCTGTACCCGCACTCAGGAAGCAGAAGAGATGCGGGCATCAGCTTAGTATGGTCCTGGATGGGGGCCCATGGAATGGTGTCACCCACATTCAGGGCTCACCTTCCTTGCTCAGATAGGCTTTAGAAACGCCCTAATAGACATAGTCAGAGGTCTGTTTCCATGGTGATTCTAAAGCCTCTAAAGCCAGTCAAGTTGACAATCATGAATAACCACCATATCAAGTAATAAAAACATTGCATGAACACGTAGTATACGTGTAGAGTACATGCTTTGTAAATAAGCATTTAATAAAAGTTTTATAAATGCAAGATTAGCTCTCACTGGGGCTGCCCACGGGTGTTTTCTTTTTTCTGTGATAATAAGAAGATCCTTTGCCATTTGTGAGCCTTTGTGCTGTTCACCTATCAAGGCAGAAATTTGCTTTGAGATCTTGAGCGAAAGATATTGTCATAGTACAAATTACCATGATCTAATTAGGCCTGCCTCCATAAATCTGTCACTTGAAAGCCATTCAAGCCTGCTCGGCCCAGCCCTTGATTTAAGCTGCTCCAGGAGTCTAGCCGAAGATATGTCCAGGATACAGTCCAACACAATATTCTCCTCTCCTCCCACTGCTCCCTGGAGGATGGGCTGCTCACCAATTTTGGCCACATAACAGTAATGTAGAAGAGAGATTCATTATAGTTTAGGCATAGATCTTACCCAGTGCCCATGCAACCTCATGACAACATTATTTAGCATTCCGACTGGATGCGAGCTCTTGTTGGGGAGAGACGGAAGATTAGCATGGCAAGGCTCTTAAAGCAAAGACAGGAAAGATGCATATTTTCTTCACTGGATGGACACAGGTAACCTGCATTCCTCAGCATGATGAATTCTCTGCAATGACACAGAACACAGAATTCAGGCGTTTAAAAAATGCCAGCGCTTGCCAAATCAATAATACCCATTCCTGAGTGTGATGGTTGAAGCTGAAAGGGTTTTACAAAAGCAGATGCAGTAGATGAAACAGATTGTTTTCCTAGTGGGTGTGAGAATAGGGTGTTGGTGTGTGTGGAGCAGGGAAGTGTGTGTGTGTGTGTGTGTGTGTGTGTGTGTGGAGACCAGAGGTCAACCTTTGGTGTCTGTTGTTCCTGTGGTACCACTGACCTTGTCCTTGAGACAGTGGCTCACTAACCTGAAGCTCACAAATGAGGTTATGCTGCCGAGACAGAACGCTGGGGCCATTGTCCTCTCTGTCTCCCCAGTGCTGGGATTACAGCAGACTCCTCCATGCCAAAAGTTCTTAGGTAGGGCCTGAAGGTAGAACTGAGGTCTTCATGTGTACACACCGAGTATTTTATCAGCTGAGCCCCCTCCTCGGCCAGAGGACATGACTTTCAGCTTCTCTTTGTGGCGTATGGCTCTGCGGTTCTGGGAACCTGTGACTAGCAGTGCTCCAATCCCATGGTCTTTCCCCAGGATGAAGGGATGAGAACCTTTCCCTATCCTGCTGCTCCTTTTTGCTTTTATTTTGCTTGTTTGGTTGATTGCTTGGTCTGTTTTTCGAGACAGGGTTTCTCTGTGTAACAGTCCTGTCTGTCCTGGGACTCACTCTGTAGACCAGGCTGGCCTCGAACTCACAGAGATCCACTGCCTCTGCTTCCCGAGTGCTGGGGTTAAAGGTGTGAGCCACCATCGTTCTTTTTTTAATACCCTCCCCCATTTCTGTTATTTCTGCTTCCCTACCCTTGCCCCACTATCCCAAAACACACATCCACACCTCTACCTTCCTATCTTTCTGTACCTTGTCCCGGGCTGTTTGGGTTTCAAAGAAATGCCGTGTGTGTGTTAAGCAAACAGAAAGATGAAATATCAACAAAGTTTATTAAACAGCAAACAGGCTCACATTCTCATGAGCTGATTCTGGGCTGGGAGACTTCAACTCACCACCCAGAAGTTGACAAGATACGCCTCTTAGGGCTCTCCTCCGTGAGCAGAGCCAGGAAGAAGGTAGAATTATCATGTAACTCTAGAGGATGAGGAGGCAATGGAGATGCAAAAATCCCAGGAGACCATCACGCCACTTTGTCAGGGTCTGAGAGTGATGCCAGCAGCCCCCTGCTGCCTCCCTGCAGCTGGAAATAGACAGGAGGGAAGAAAGCGAGACCAGAGCCTCTGAAAACTCCTAGGGGGTCCCCCGGGCCTTGTCCCCACCATGTGTGAAGGTTTTGCAAGCTTAGTTCTTGCTTCTAAGCAGCTGACAATAGGAAGATCCAGCGGGCTCTCATGCTAAGGGGCAGAGGCGATTAGTGAGGGGGAGGGCAGGGAGAAACAAGATCAGAGGAAAGGAGAGGAGAATTCACCCAGAAAGGGCCACTTAGCTTCCCCTTCCACGAGATTCAGATTAATGGGGAGGCGAGCGCCCACCCACATCAAGGAGACCCAAGCTTTGCAAGCGCCTAGCAGGAAAGAGACGGGAAGCCTGGCAGAGGAAAGGAGTCAAGTGAGCATTTCAAAATAAAAAAGCCTGAGAGGAGAACAGTGCAGGTGCTGGCCTTCGAGGTTGAACAGCACTCTCGTGGACCACGCCACAGAGATGCTGGCAGAGGAAGAGGAGAAGGGAAAGGCCTTTCAAGTATTAAGGATTTTTTTCTTTCTTTCTAAAGAAAAAAAAAAGGAAAAAGAAAAAGGAACCATTTGAGAGACAGAGCTAAGGATTATTGCCATCTATTTTGGGAGACGATGCTGGTGTTATTGGATTCCAACCAGCGTGGCGGTGAAGCGATGGCAGCCCAGGGCATCCTAGAATCTCTGTGGCTAAGAGTGGGGCCTTCTGAGCTGAGCCCAGGAGTTGGGCACAACTGGACAAGGAGGTGTGTACCAGGGATCCTGCTGTCCTGCACCCTTGGCTAACTGTCCAAGATTGAGTTGGTGCTGCCATCTGGGACTATTCCTGGGTGATTTCTCCAATCTCAAGAGGAAAGGAGAAAAAGAAAAAAAAGAAAACAAAATTTAAAAAAAAAAAAAACAAACCCTGCCCTTCCCGAGGAATACCATGGACTCAGTGCCAACCCGAGACAGCTGCTGATGTCGAACAACAGTGTCAAGGACCTACTGTCCCTTCCTGCCCCTCCTCCTCCACCACAGAAGACTGTGAAAAAGCCAAGAGCTGGTGGGCAGCCAGCAAGAACTAAAGAACTTACAGCTGGCAAAACCACCTGTGCCTTGTCAAATTCCAGCCAAAACAATCCTTCCCCAGAGGCTCTGGCTGAGGAGCAGGAAAGAGAATACGATGAGAGGCATGGGGGAGGAAAGAGAAAGAGAGAGAGAGAGAGAGAGAGAGAGAGAGAGAGAGAGAGGCATCCACTAACCATATCTAGCCAGCGAATGAAGAGATAGAGAGGATTTAGCAAGTTACACCAGGAGAGGTCCAAAAATTCTAATGCTAAAGTCATTAGAAGGGAAGAGAGGCAACCCAGTCCCATAGCCCAAGCTCCAAATCCTTCTCCTCAGTGCCCAACCAGGGCAATGCTGATGTCTGAGCAGTGAAACCTCTGGCACAAGGAACGTGGCATGGGTTCACATTTGGGGCATCTGTGACAATGTTCCAATAGCAAAACCCAAGGCTCGCCAGTAGTTAAGCACAAATCACTTGCAGTATGCTCTGTAAATGCACAGTCACCTTGGGGACAGTCACCCAGAAGGCAAGGTCCCAGGACTAGACTTCATAAAAGGTATGTAGACCACCATGATAAAGAAGACATCAGAGGACCGGGGAGAAATAAAGTCTTAACTGAGACGTATGCTGAAGTTCCATCTCCACTGGGTTATATTCTTCGGACTTCATGTCTCTGCCTTTTTTCTTCTCCACATGGGAAATGAACCTGCCCTTAATTGCTACTGGCCCAGCTTCAGTATTTAAGAGTTAATAAATGCTGCCTCTAAAATTAGAAAGTCCCCCTTGTCCTTCATAGAGCATCTAACTGTTAGCATTGGCCAGGTGATGTTGGCATGAACCAGAGTTGAATGTTCACTGATATTCCCTGCTGAAAGCCATACCAGAGTTGATTGCCTCTAGAGATCAGGAAGTTATTCCCATGCTCAGACTTCATTTTCAAAATATTTATTTATTTAGCTGATGACTAAATGAACAGAGAGCACATGTTGACTCCTAGGACGATAGAATACTCAGGACCCACGGTGAGAGCCAGCACTAGCCTGTCATTCATCAGGGGAAAGAGTTAGTAGTTGCCAGGGACAATGGAGGGACAGGATGGTTTTGATGAGTATTAACAATTTAATTATAGATACATTCATTATAACAAGTATGGCTTGCTTATTAAAAACACCGCTCTTCTATGTTTTTATGTGATCCTCACCAAAAATAAATAGTTTAATGTCACTATGGGAAAGGCACGAAGACAGCCCCGATTGGTGGATGCTGTAGACATAGCTGGCCCATGTGCATCAAAACACGTCAGTAGAGGGGCCGACGAGATGGCGCAGTAGGTAAAGGCACTTGCCTCAAAGCCTGACAATCTTGAGTTTGATCCCTGGGATCCACAGAGGGGAAAGAGAGAACTGACTGCTGCAAATTGTTCTGTGACCTACACACACAAACACGCGCGTGTGCGTGTGCAGTAAGTAAAGTAATTAAAATGTTAAGATGAAGAAGGACATCTTCATCTTAAAGATGAAGCTTTAAGCTTAAAGCTCCTCATCTTAAAGCTCCTCAGGAAAGGCTGAGGAGCTGTTCTGAAATCGATGGGGCTAAGGAGCCACGACAGCTCAATGAGAGTGTGACCCTGAGGCCGCTCCTGGGCCAAAGGAAGGAATCCCCGAGAAGATGATGTCATTCGAATATACATTCTATAATAATTGGGCACTAGTGTTTAATTTCCGGATTTTAATATTTACTTTGCGTATGAAATGGACTGCAAGCTTTTTGCTGTTTAGCTTCAAGGATGTCTTCCCTAAAAGCAGCAAGTTTTTGCTGCAGAAGTTTGAATCTACTGTACAAAAGGAGGAGAAACAAAACTACAGAGAAATCATGTTTTTATTCTTATAGGTTTATTTTTTGTCTAAATTCTAATAAAATTATGTAGTTAAACAAAAAGGAAAAGAAGAGAAGAGAAACTACCAGGGTTTATATCATTTTTGTTTGTTTTGTGTGTTTCTGTGTGTTATCCAAAGACATTTTGTTTTGGGTGCTGGAGAGATGGCTTAGCTAATAAGAGCACTTGGTACACAAACGAGGACCTGAGTTCAGACTGCCAGCACCTGTGTAAAAAGCTGAGCGTGGCTGTGTGCACGGCTGTACCCAAGTGGATGGAGGAGATAGGAAAGCCACCGTAGCTTGCTGGTCGCCAGCCCAGCTCTGGGTTCAGTGAGAGACTTTGTCTTAAGGGAATAAGACGGAGTAACAGAGCAGGACGCCAACATCCTCCTGCCTTCTGGAGCACATTTGCACACCCATTTGCACAGATACCACACTCATACACAATATGCACCACACAGGCACCACATACTTCACATATGTACCATGTATACCACACACATACACCAATACAAACATCATATATATGTGATATATATATCACACACATTACACATGTATACTACACACATCACACATGTATACCACTCAGGTACTGCAAACACACATACCACACATACTACACAGATGCAATATACAGTACACGTGTATACCACACACATATGACAAACATAAAACACATAGGTCTGACACACACACACACACACACACACACAAAGACACTATTATCAGTGAGACATTCTCCAGCTTTCTTCTCTTCTATGTCTTTCCTTGGGCAAGAGGGATCCGTGCCCTGGGCTACCTTCCCTGTCACCATGTGCAAATCTATCTCATTATTTCTAACTCCTGGGGCTGCTGAGCAGCACTCGCAATGTTCCTTTTGCTGGAGCCCTGGCAAGCGAGCAATGGGACTTAACATCCAGCCTACATTCCATTCAAGAAATCCCACTGCTCTCCGTGGACTCTGCTGGCCAAGAGGAAAGGGTGCCGTTTTCTCCTTCCACAGAGGCGGTCTCGTGGCGGCCCTATTAACAGCTCCTCAGCATTCCAGGGTATAATGCAGCGCCACTGACTTACAGAATTTCATCCTGACATGGGAACAGCCTGCGTTGCTATCACCAGCAATCTACAACTTGCATGGTAGATTCTGTGTATATCTCTGTATTCCCCGCCAACTCTTCCGTAGGGAAGATTCCCACACTGTCAGTTTCCTCGGAGCTGACAAATTAACCTTGCTACAGGTTTGTACCTGTTTATGCCCCAAGCATGTGTAGGAAGTGGCTTGTTTCCGTACCCTCTAACCAACACCATAGGAGATCAATCTTCTAAATATTTGCCGATCTGATAAGTGAAAAATTTTATCTCACAGTTTGATAGATCATTTGTAGCAAACCAAATATTTTTAACTTTCTGTTCTCCAAGTCAAGACAATTTCAAAGGAGTATTGAGTCTGTGTTCTTCCCAAATCCACTAGCAATGCTGACTCAATCCGCGAGCGCCCAGGGACCAGTAGCATCTCCCCCAGCACTGCCCATCGGCTCAATCTTATCTCCTGTGGGAAATGTGAAGCAAAAGGAAATACGACGCCTGCAGGTGTCTGGGGCCCAAGGTTCCAGCGCAGGTCTGCTGGCATCTGATTTTCTGATCACAAGTCATAACTGAAATCTTACTGACTGTGCCAGCCCAACTGGGTCAGCCACCTCGGCCCCCTTTGCAAATAAGACCGTTTTCATTCAATGATTTTGATGCTGGTCACATGATCGGGACCCCGTGCCAGAGAGAACAGCAAGCCCCAAGGCCCATGGCACTCAGACTCTCCTCTTTCACTAGGTGTTTCTGCAAGTCCCACCCCTCCAAGAAGCAGAAGCCCAGATGCCACAGCAGCTCGCGGTGAGAGCAGCAAAGGAACCCGAGAAAGCTGGTGGCGGTGTGAAGCTCACCTCTAGGGGTGGAGAGCTGGGGAGGCCAGATCTTTGCAACTGCCGTGGAGTCCAGGCTCAAGATGACTGAGGAATCTGCAGAGCCAGGCCAGCCGTCAGCAGAGTCTGGTCCCTCTCAGGACCCTCAGGTCTTTCCACACTCAGTCATTGGCTGGGAGAGGCCTGTGGAAAGAGTAGCGTTGGTGAGTGTGTCAATCAGGGCTCAGCAGCTGGGGGTCTTCTCTTCCACTCCTTGAGGTTAGAGAGCCGCTGAACCCATTGTCAAGATCCCTACCACGTGGTATCAGGGAGGAAATCTGGAGACAGAAGCCGAGCACACCATCCATGCAGAGAACACAGGATCTGCGTCACATTGAGCTTCTTGCCCTTGTAACTTCCGTGCAATGATTTACTTTAATATCAGACCATGAAAGATGGCCCATAACCGCATCACTCCGAAGTCTGGAGAGTATGTGATAAAGAAACCTAACATAGAAACTTATGGGCTTAGGGAGACTCAGTAGCAAAAGTGCTCACTAGCCAAGCACAAGAGTCTGAGTTTGGGTTCCTAGAAACCGTGTGGAAGTCGGGTGTAATGACATGTGAGGATGACAAACCCTCATGCTGGGGAGGAACACAGAGGCAGGCAAATCCAAGGAACTCAGTGCCAAGTGAGCCAAGCAGAAAAGGTGGGCTTTGGGTTCCATGGGACACTCTCACATGGGACACTCTATCACATGGGACACTCTATCAGTCACATCGGACACCCTCACATGGGACACTCCATCACATGGGACACTCTATCAATCACATGGGATGCGCTATCAATTACATGGAATGCTCTATCACATGGGACATTATTACATGGGACACTTTATCACATGGGATATTCTAACAATGACATGGGACATTCTATCACATGGGACACTCTATCAATCACATGGGACACTCTAGCACATGGGATACTCTAGCACATAGGACATTCCAGCACATAGGACACTCTAGGACATGGCATACTCTAGCACATGAGACACTCGATCATAAACGAGATGCAGAGTGACAGAAGACACATGACATCAACCTCCAGCCTCCACATGTACATGGGCATGGACACACCACATGTGTGCCCATGCAAACACCCATACACATGTTCCCTCCTCCACACACAAAGTATATAGTGACATACAAAACAGTTTTTTAAAGAAGCCAGAATAAACAAGACTTAGGTCATGAAAATATACATGACTTGGGTCATAATGAAGAACAACGAGGAAAGAAAGGGGAGAAAATAAACAGAAAGGAAATTGGGGTACGGCAACTTGAAAGTAGCTGGTAAACCATGAGCCAGGTCCTAAGGAGACATTTCCACTGGGTGCAGGAAGACACGCAGGCCTGGTCATCAGGATCGGGCTATTTTCTGAAAAGCACCGCAGTCAGACTCCACAGAATATATACAAGTTGCCAGCTTCTGATTGAATTTGTAAGCGTTAGACTGGGTGTGGTCAGGGAGAGGCACTAAACACCAGGGCAGTCAACGTTTCTAACGCTGTGACCCTTATGCGGTTCCTCATGCTGTGGTCATCTCCCAATCATAAAATTATTTAGCTGCCACTTCATAACTGTAATGTTACTACTGTTATGGATCATGATGCAAATATCTGATATAAAAGAGTCATTCCACCCCACCAGGGGTCACGACCCACTGGCTGAGAACTTCTGCTGCTCTAAGCCTCTCTGAGCATATGACACCCCTGTGATTGACATCTTCCTACCCTGTCTCCCCGGAACGTCATGGTATATTGAACTCTAAGGAGAAAATAGCCAGATTATCTTGTCGAAGTCACATTTATTTTTCACCAACTTTTCATTTAAAAACCCACACGCAAGAACTAGGAATCACCACATGCTTGGCAAATCCCGTCCTTGTCGGTCTGTGCATCTGTATGTGGCCAGACTTTGCCTTACTGTTCGGACTGTGTGTTCCTTAGCACTGCCCTCCAGAGTGTAAGGACTTTCTACAGTCCCGCATTGCTCATAGCACAACCGTTATAACCGTGATTGTGTTCATGAAGTCTATAAATATGTGTACAAAAGTAAAATATTTGGATATTTATTAGAGGCCTGGCTCCGTGATTCAAAGTGTTTACTGCTCTTTCAGGGGACCCGCGTTTGGTTCCCAGCACCAATTCCAGAAGTCTCACAATGGCCTGGAACTCTAACTTCAGAAGGTCAGACAACCTCTGGCCTCCCTGGGCACCAGCATCCACACACACAGGTCTACATACAGACACAGAATATGTACATAAATAAAAACATATTCCAATTTTAAAACAGTGCGAACTATTTAACACACAAATCTGTCGCCTTTGATTTCACGAATCTATTTGCCCTTCGACATTCATCCTGTTGGATTTCTTCCCACAGTCCTCCCTTCCTTCTTAGTCTTCGGCACGAACTTCCTGGCTCTTCTTGGCTCTCCCCCTAGCGCGGTCACTTCTTTCTCCTTAGATGTCTTTGCTTCCTATCATCTCTCAGTTTGCAGTCTCCTACGCTGATCTTTCTAGACGCTTCCATTCCACGGCTCCTGCTATCACAGCTCACCTAACGATCCTATTTATAGCCTCAAGCTGCACTTAGCTTCTGGCCTCCCACTTCCTCTAGGATATCTGCCCTCAAACTCCCGGCCATCCCTGCTAATTCCGTCTGGTCCCGCACATTCTCCCAGCATCACTATCACCTCCCAACCCATCAACAGCCTGCGCTGTCTCCCCTCCACCCAAAGAAAGCGCTGGCATCTGAATTCCTGCTCAGCCCTCTTCCCACGTCTAACTGCCCCGTGGGAAGAGTGCTTGCTGCAGAGACATGAAGACCTCAGTTTAGATCCAGCATTCACAGAAGACCAGGGCGTGGCTATGGGCAACTGGAACCTCACTCTCTACATTAGTTGTTGCTCATGTTGCCATGACCACACACCTGACAAGAAGCAACTTAGGATAGAAAGGATGGGTTTTGGTTATAGTTCAAGGGGAGACAGTCCATGATGGCGGGGGAAGGTATAACAGCCAGACTGTGAGGGTGAGGTAGCTGGTTAAGCACCATCAGTGACTGGGAAGTGGGACTCAGACGGGAAGTGGGCCGGGATCTCAAACCTGAGTGAGCCACTTTCACTAGCGAGGCTCCGACTCCTAAGGGTTCCGCAGCATTCGAAAGCATTGCCACCAGCTGGGGACCACATGTTCCCACGGGAGCCTGTGGGGGAAGGACAAACTGTGTCGAACTTTTACAGGCAGATTCTGTATTTGAAGACAGCTCAACATCTTCACACCGGGTCTTTTCCTTCTTTCCTAGACAAGAATATCCTGTGCCTTGCACAGCACCTTGGTGAACTTGGGTTTATGACTTTTCCTAGTCTGTCTGTCTTTCCTCTTTTCAACACCCCACTCTTCATTCATTTCACAGCATCCAGGGTCAGCAGGATGGGTCCGCGGGCAGAGGCCCGTGCTGCCTGACCGCCTGAGTTTGATCCCTAAAACACATGTGAGAGTCTAAGGAGAGAGTCGACTCCATGGAATTGTCTCCTGACTTCTGCACATGTGAATTCTACTCACATATAACACACACACAGAGACACAGACCGACAGACACACACACACACACACACACACACAGAGATAAAGAGAGAGAGACAGACAGACAGACAGACAGACACACACACACACACACACACACAAACACTAACACTAATAACAAGTTAAATCTTAGACATATCACCTGGTCAATACAATAAGCACGGAGCACTGTGTTAAAATGTGAGGTACTGTTCGTGGTTCTAAAAGAACACGACGTTTGTGGGTGTTGCATTTTTTGATGTTGAGTACATGAGACCTCGAGCTTTTTCTCACCTGTGCTGTGTCTAAGTCCTATGCACTTGCTGTATAGTAAGAGCCCAATAAATGTCCTCTGCTGTTCTTAGATGTAAACAACACACTGGGTAAGTGTGGCTCTCGCCCCTCACCAAAGAGACTTCTTTTTGCGGCAGTAAGAAGCCCTTGTGGGATGTCACCACTAGAACAGTGCGCTAGGAGGAAGAGTCTAGACTTCCCGGTGAGCAGTCTTCAGTCCTTGTGCTTTGGTTTGGAAAGCTTCACCCAGCACTTGCTATTTTGTCCTTTTATTTACCCTCCACCATTCAAGAGCTCTGTGTCCCTTCCTGGAAGGTGGGGCAAGGCGCCATCTTGGAAGCAGAGAAGAGCTCTTACTAGACAGAGGGATCCCTTCCAACCTCAAGAACCACGGAGACACTGTTCTTCATGAGTCATTTAATGCTGGGTGTTTTCTTACAGTTATACACGTGGACCAACATGCTAATATTTCCCCCATTCTTCCCAGTTACACATTTAATATCTCTCCTGGTCTCAGACATGTGCTTCTAGGCTGGATCAAGAAAACAATGGTGGACGTAGTCTTAACTGGCCATTTCCTGTGACCCAGTTGGTACCTAGGCCAGTTTTCATCAGAGAGGTGCCATCCAGCGAATGATGGAAACAGATACAGATCACAGCCTAACACCAGGCAGAGTGTGTATGGGAGAAAGGACTGTAGGATCAAGAGGGGTCAACTCACAGAATCAACTAACCTGGACTCATAGGGGCTCACAGAGACTGAACCGACAAGCAGGGACCTGCATGGGACTAACCCAGGCACTCTGCATATATGTGACAGCTGTGTAGCTTAGTCTTCTTGTGGGACTCCTAACAGTGGGAGCAAGGGCTGTCTCAGGTTCTTTTACTAGCTCTTGGCACCTTACACCTCATACTGGGTTGCCTTGCCCAGATGTACACCATGGGGAGATGTTTAATCTTAAATTAATATGCCATGTTTTGTTGATATTCATGGGAGATCTGCCCTTTCTTAAACAGAAATGGAGGAGGAGTAGATTGGGAGTAGGAATAGAGAGGGCGCGAGGAAGGATTGGGAAGAGGGGAAGGAGGGAGAACAGCAGCCAGGATATAAAAATAAATAAATAAATAAATAAATAGATTTTAAAAGAATTGGGTTAAATTTGTTCTTTCTCTGCAAACAGGAGGCTCTGCTTTCTGGTGAAGAACACAGCTGCTCTTGCTTCTCTTTCACATAAATTCCCTTCAGAACAGCCTCTGTCTGCTGCTAGCATCAAGTAAATA